GGGTGGGTGGCTTTGGATACCCTTTTAGAAAAGTGTACCTTTCATACCTGCTGCAGTTTACTTGGAGATTTGAGGCCCAAACAACACCGAAGTGCCCCCTCTTTTCCAAAGCGTGGGAGGGCAGAAGAGACTTGCTGAACACTCCAGTCTTGCCCCACGTTAATGCTGGSATGTAGCTGGGGTATGTGCTTGAATCTAGGTGTTGTGGGGAGACACATCTGGTGTGATAGGGGAAGCAGGAAGAACGGCAAACTTGTTTTTGCTGAGTCTCAAGCTGTGGAACAGCAAAACGCAACCTTCCTAAGACGAGCTTAGTGTCAGGGCTGGTCACAAACTTGGGAAAATTTACTTTAGTATAAAAACAACACCAACAGCAATCTGTTCTTTCTGCTTCCTTCCTTTACTGCTTTATTAAAAGGTCAAGGGCAAAGTGTAAAACACTGAAGAGTGTGCAGCAAGTGTTTCCTTTTCTTGATTTCATCTCTTCAGTGTGTTTAGACTACTTTGTGTTAACCTGAATGATTTGCCAGAAGATGCTGCAGTTTCTGTGAGTAATGGAAGAGCTGCTTAAAACTGATTTCTGCAAAAGAGTTGTAGTTTTAATTAAACAAATGGAAGCAAAATAATTTAGTTTTATGAGTTTTTACAAAAATAAAAGCAACATTTACAGTGTTTTTTAGTAAAGAAGTTCTGGGTTTGGGCCAAGGATGCTTAGGTTTTGGCAGTTTGGGGTTGCAGTTTTTCTGTTCTTGAAACCTTCAGTTTTTCATTGGGAAAGTAGAGGTCTTCTGTGTAAATTTTTGTTAGGCTGAAAAATCCCCTTTCCTGGGGCAACAATTTCTTGGATGGTCTTCCTCAGAGAGGATCTGCTAGCAGGTGCTCTGACAAGAGGCTGGAGGATGGGAAACTCTGAAAGAAATACTCGTGTCTCATGCCAGCAAGTGAAAAAACACTAAAATATCATAGAATCATAGATTAGTTTGGGTTGGAATGGACCTTTAAAAGTCATTTAGTCCAACATTCCCTGCAATGAACAGGAATATCTTCAGTTAAATCAGGTACCTCAGAACCCCATCCATCCTRACCTTGAGTGATTCCAGGGATGTGATATCTACAGACTCTCTGGGGAACATGTTCCTGTGTTTTGCAATCCTCATAATAAAAAATTTCTTCTTTTTATCTAGTCTAAATCTATGCTCTTTTATTTTAAAACCATTATCCACTGTTCTATAGCAACAGGTCCTGCTGAAATATTTGTCCACATCTTTCTTGTAAGCTCCCTTTAAATATTGAAAAAATATCCAATGCTTCCATCTTTTCACCKGTAAGACAGTACTTCTGTTCCCTGCTTTTCAGCTGCTCCACCATGGCACATAGGCAAATAGAACCTCTTCCAGTACCTCACCACTCACACAGTAAAGAATTTCTTTCTAATATTTCACCTAAACCTACTCTCTGTCAGTTTAAAAACGTTCCCTCTTGTCCTGTCACTATATGGTTTTGTAAAAGATATCTCTCCGGCTCTTCTTTCAGGGAGGCCATATTTAGGTCACTCCGAAACCTTCTCTTCTCCAGGGTAAAGAAGCTCAATTCTCTTACTCTTTCCTCRTAGGAGAGCTGTTCCAGCCCTCTTATAACCCCAGTGATCCTTGTATGGACTTCTTCCAAAGTTCCATGTCCTTCCTGTGCTGAGGACCCCAGAGCTGGATGTAGGACTGCAGGTGGGGGTCTCACCAGAGCAGAGCAGAGGGGCAGAATCMCCTCCCTCACCCTACTGGCCACAGAGTTTTGGATGCAGCCCAGGACAGACACATTTGGTTACCTGGGCTGTGAGTGCCCACGGCCCGGTCACATCTAGCCTCTCCTCCACCAGCATCCCCAAGTCCTCCTCAGCAGGGCTGCTCTCCATCTGTTCATCCCCTCCTGTGCTGATACTGGGAATTATCCCAGCATGCACACAGCACCCCACACTTGTTCATGTTAAACCACGTGAAATTCCTTCCTATGGACTCACTTCTCCAGATCAAGAAGACAGATCCCTCCTGGTTTCTAGACTACTGTTAACTTTATGTGGGTCTCTTCAAAGGGAAGAGGACTAAATCAGGCACTCCAGATTTTCTGCTAAGCTCACCTGTACTCACTTTATCCATGATCCTTTCAGCTATTCAATGTAACCCACTTCAGTGAGGGTGAATCTGTCTTACATCTCTTTTTATGCCCAATCACCTGTGTCCGTATCATCCTCGAAATTCCTCTTTGGGGGTCTGTTGTCTCACATGTCCAGGCTGTGGAATAACAGAGACACAAACGTGGTCTGAAAGGTTTTGACTGCTGGGAGAGATGAACCCAGAGTAGGCATGACTTAGAAAATACTGTGGAAGTAAAAGACAGGGACAGGGCTGAAAAGCACACCTACAACTGAGGGGCTGTTCTAGTGAAGAATAGCTGGTCCCTTTGTGGGTGAGGTCCGCATGGATTTCATTTTCTCTTATTTTTCCAGTTCATATCCTTCAATCCATTCAGGGATTGAAATGTAGTCCCAGCATTCAGATCTCAGTTCAATTTTTGTGTGCTGCCCCAGATTCACCATTGCCTGTGTGGATGCTCCTTTTCTGCCAACAAACCGCTGTTGYCCTTGGGATTTTAGGTTTTCCTTAGTGGTCAAAGAAACCAGTGTTCTCCCTGGTTTTGTTTAGATATCTTCTGTTGTTTCTTTGGTACTTACTTCAGAGATGATTGTGGCATATGACTCAGACAGCAGGATCAGTATCCTCTTGTTTAARGGTTTTAGGGAATAAAGAGGTGGCAAATTTAGACAAAAATTTAATGACAATTTTTATCTACTTTTCTCACTTATCTACTTTTTTCACTTTTTCTACTTTCTTTCCCTTTCTTATTTTTCAGTGATTTTCAACATTTTACTTTTCCCTGGTGAGGTCTGATCTTGCATTTACTCAAAAGCCATGCAGCCACTTACCAACATCCAGGAACACCCTTTGTGTGTCTTTTACCTACCAGCACCAAACAGGCAGCAATGCAACTCTGCTTGCCCTGAGAGAGGACTCTCCTCACCAGGATGATCACAAGTGTAAGGGAGCATCCTCAGCCAGTACACATGGCTTCTCAGGGCAACAGGTGATGTTTCCTTGTACCTCATACATCATGACAGCTGAGCCATCACACTTTGTGTTCCTAAGTGCAGCTTGTTGCCTTGCTAGCCTGAGGAAACAAGCGGATTTAGGATACCACTGGTTACTACCAGGTTCTGGCTATTGCCTGAGGTCCTTGATGTGATTGGGAGCAATAAATTGACTGGATTTTTCTGCTCTCTGATGGGTGGTAGTCAGCTGATACTGCACTTTGATCATGTTGGATATGATTATTTCTACTTTGTATTTACAGACTAAGGTTTCATCTATGGCTGGTGTGGTATTAGCATTTCCAAGCTGCCTGATTTTGGGAGACAGGAGAGCTACAAGTGTCCTTTAAGAAAGAAGGAGCCTTGGCTTGACTCTCTGTCCCAGCACAGACATAGTCCTGCAGCAGAAAAATGCATGGAGGGAAGAGTACGATGGGAAGGAGGATGAGGCCWGCAAGCCCCAAGTGACCCACTCTGACATGACACTGAGTCTGTGTGCAAGGCACCCAGTGCAGGGCTGTGCAGTGCCCTTGATGGCCATGGGACTGGCTTCTGCCCTCCTGCCTCAGGCAGAAGCTCAGGTATTTGCAGCCCAGCCTCTTCATCACGTGGATGCAGCTGCTGTCTTGAATCATCATCTACCATTTAAGATCAATTTAAAGAGTCATCTAGGGTGAATGGCTTTAAGCAGACTCTGGTACCTATATGCAGGTGAGGATGAKTAGCTTGGCTGCCAGTCCTTACACCTTCTGCCACTTAGTCCTCTTGCATGATCTGAAGCATAGAAAACACATCCACGGTGCTGCACGGGGTGCATGGAACAGGCATCTCAGACACTATGAAATCTGGGAAGTCTTGAGAATATAACAGACTTTAGGTAACCTTCTCCTTCTTCCCACTCAGGTATTTTGCTCTGCTTGGTTGCTCCTCCAACACCCATCCCTGGAAAAGAGTGAGTTTGATTCCACCAAAATGTCTCTCTAGATGCTCTTTTCAGAGGATTCCTTATGTGTAGTTAATCAGGACTTACTATGGTAAGTTTTAATTTTTCAGCAAAAATACAGTTGAACTTTAAAAAAAGAGAAGACAATGCAGGCTGAATATCACAGGGAGAAAAAATCCTGGCTATGAAACTTATCTAATCCTCCAAGGGAAATGGTGGAACCCTTATCACTTAAGACATTAAAATAAGCAACACAGAGCACTAGAAAAATGTTGTTGTGAAATTCCCTTCACTGGCAAGTAGGTGGACTGATATTGCTTTGTGTATCTTTTATATTTATCAATCCTTCTCAGAGCTATCCTCTGCATCCTAAAGAAATATCCTTTGGCTGCGAGCACTTTGTCTCACAAGTAATTAAGCAGAAATGAATATATCACTAAGTGCATTTCAATATATGTCCTCAGCTGGCTGGAACTCAACCCGGGGATTCAGGATCTGCTTGTAATTAACATTCCATAGTAAGACTCCACACCCTCTATTTGTCTCTTCCTAATTATGTGTTGGAAATACACATTTCTCCTACCATTAGAGATTTCAGCAGAGAAGTTTGAGCTTTAAATTGCCCTCTACCTCAATTTAAATGTTCCCTGTTATTTTAGGTTTGTAGACATTACACAAATAAACCTTTTCTCAAGGCGTCATAGGGAAACAAGCCACTGACTCAAAATAAACCCCCAAACCCAACTGCTGAGCTTCCTTCTGGGTTGACAGTATCACAGATTTAGGCTGTGATCTGTTGGCTCTTGAGGGTTTCAATACTGGWAATTAAAGGTGTCACTCCTAATTAGCATGAGAGCCTGTGGATATGAAGAGTAATTGTGAATAGGGYTGCTCCAAGATCTTTCTGTGAAACCGCCTTTCCTGCCAGTTCATTAGAGCAACACTTTCAYGGCAATGCATCTGCTGGGGGTGCTTTTCATCACGAAGGCTTGACTGTGGTGGAAGATGGAGAAACAAAATGCTTCAGCTGAGGATGAATGAGGGCTTTAATTTGGGTCTGTCAGCAAGGGGTTAAGTGGCTACATCTCCAGGTAGGATAACAAAGTTGCGCCCGTTGTGGACTAGTTTTTAACAAATTTGCCAGTGATCATGCTGCTTGCGTGTTCTGTCTTTCCTTCAGCTTATCCAAAGGCTCATGTTCCCTCAGCCTGCTGTGCCCAAGGTGGGTCACAGCTCTCACATCTGTCTAGGGACAGACTGCAACAGCACTCATCCTGAACTTAGAAAGACACCAGAATTGCAACCCTGGATCTTCAGAGAAATGCATCAATCCCCGGGTRGGTCCTAAGAGAGTGCCCAGGGATATGTGAGGAAGCTGAGGTGTCAATCTCCCCTCTGGTAAGTAAGAAATGGATGAGGTTCCCCTGGCTCTGGTCCCCCTGGAGCTCCTCCACCTGGGTATAGCTACCATGATGCTTCCAGAGCTGTACTGGGATAATGTGTGTCTGAGGGCAACCAAAACACGTTGTTCCCAGACTCTACACAGTTTTTAGTGCCCTTCACTGTGATGGTAATTAAAAACAAACAAATCTGGATGTGTTCTGTGGGGCTGCCAGATCCCACAGAGATACCTCAGCTTTCCTTTATGTTTTATATGGTAATGGCAGGCCTGGTGGTGAACTCTCTGCTGTTACTGGTAAATGGTGACACATGAGATGTCACTCTGGAGACAGTGGGTGAAAATGTGTCTCTGCTGGAAGCTGGTGGCAAAACTCCCGTTGACTTCAGCAGAGCCAGAGCATTTTGTGCAATTATTTCCCATGCATAATTCACGAGGGGAGACATCTACCCTCCCAATCCTTCTTTTTTTCTCTAATGATTAATAAGTTGACAATAAGAAAAAGACTTTTTTTCTGGAACGGTTCATATTTGGGAAATCCAATTCTGACCTACTAAGCCTGCTCTGACTGCTTTAGCCTTGAGGGAAATTTGCAAACTGGCCCAGGGAAGCTGGTACTTGTTATTGTTGCTTCAAAGAGTCTRTGTGGGAGAGGGAATGAGATGTGTTGGGATTAAAATACCCTCACTGTAAAAAGCAGTAATAATTACCGTCTACATGTGGGCAAGTCAAAAAGGGTTATTACCAAAAGAAATTTAAATGCCTGTTTGCAGAGAAAATTGCCTGAAATCCAGCATTATTCATCTGTCCTGTGTGGATTGTTTTTAAACAGTTTTCTTCGAACACCAGTTTTGTAAGGCAAATTTTAAATGGATCAAGACAAAGTTAAGAGGCTTGGCATAAGGTAAGTGATGGCATAATGGGAATTACAAAAGACAGGTCTGCTCCCAGAAGCCCTGGGATATGGAGGGGCCAGCAGAGCTGCCTCCCATGAGAGTGCACAGCACACACTCTCCAGTCAGGCTGTGGGCCACTCACCTGGTCTTGGTCTGGCTGCTTGAGCATGTCAGTGTGCTCATAGTGCAGCTGGTCTTCTAACAGAGCATTTTCCTGTACACTCCTGAAACAATTAATAGATTTGTATATTTGAAAAGGACTATCATCTAGTGTGATTTTATATGCTTACTGTGCGCTTCCGTGTATCTCCTGCATTCCAGTAACCTGTGATACACCAGTTCATGCTTTCCCAAAATGCATCTGCCCTTCTTCTGAGAATATTGCTGTTCAGTACATTACATAATTTCATGTTAATTATTTTCTCAGTCTATTCTCATTTACTTTAATGAAAATCCTCTTCAGACTTGTTCATGAAAATAGGAGGAGAATCCGTCTGCCCTGATGTCTGTGAGGATAATTTCTAATGGAGAGCAGTTGGCTTGGTGCTCCCTGGTCTTCTGCACTTCTTTTCACCAAAAGGCCTAAAATAGGTCTGTAATTCTTGTGGGGTTTGGGCTGCTCTGCTTTCTCATAAAGTCACCAGGACAATCCCATTCATGAATAATGTCCTGTGTTGTTGAAAATACTTATTGAAAATTTTTGGAGTATGAAGAGAAGTGCTTCTCCGTGTACTATAATTAACAAGATAGTTTCCTAACCTACAGCTGGATGTGTGAGAAAATCTCTATGCCTGAAAATGTTGGCTGATGATGCCACATGCCATTCCTCTAGCCTCCAGGTTTGTGTTAGAAGTTAAAAGAGGCTGTGCATGTGTAAAACCACTGCCTCACTGTAACTTCTACYGACAGAAAGCCACGCCACAATTGTGTCAGCTCTGAGATTAAGGTATTTAATAGCGTYATTTCAGTTGTCTTACAGCGAGATTCAATCAGTTCTTTATTGCATACATTGTTGGCTATCATTTGATTGAGCAATGCCTAAATGTACATTCAGTTTGTAAAAGCTCTTACACAATGCCATATTCCCTGTTGCTTCATGGAAACTTGGACTTCCTCTTAGCTTCACTTTCTGTGAGTTATACACTGTTGGAGAACTGTCTTTGAATCGGACACCAGTCATCATGAGAGCATCTGTTTTATTTGTGGTTTTGTTTTTTTTTCTCTAATCCAGGTCCACAAACTCAATCCAGTGACACATGGTTTTCATTTATTTGGTTATCAAAGCCTATTTCTTGATGCACAGGGCAGAAGCAAGAATATTTTCCTTTCTAAAGGCCAATGTTTGTAAGTTTGGCAAATAACTACCTGTTATTATACTGTTATACATTTCCTTTTCTTACTATCTGCTAAAAACACTTAGTTTATATAACAACAGTTTTCACCATCTAYATCACCACAAATTAAAAATCACCTATAGACACAGAGATTTTCTTGCAGTCTCTCTCTATTTGACACCCACCTGTTTATGAAGTGCTTTCAGTACACGTATTCTTGGCAGCTCACAGATCCAAAAATATCCAGCTGCTTTACCGATCTAATGAGAGCAGTACTTGTAGTCATGAAGAAATACTGCCCTTAAATTTTGCTAAATATTCACAAATTCTGCTGATTCACACTGGGGTGACCAAAGAGGATTCACAGACTGTCTGCCTTCCTTGCCCTCTCTCTGGCACTGGGGGATGGACAGGCAGTGCTCCTGCTCCTCTGCCCCCATGAGTATCACTGTCTTCTTGCTGCTGTCCATAAAGAGACATAGCAGCTCTTGGGTTCAATTTATCRTATCCACACACAGATGTCCAAAGCCACCCAGATGACATACTTGCTAAAAAATTATCTATTTCCCTACCAGTGATTACAAAGGGATGCCGAGTCACTGCCTCATATTTAGGTGTCTTTGGTGTTGACGAGTTAAGCAGATGAGACMAATCCTACCCAAGCATCCCAGCTGAGCAGATGACAAGCACCTGTTTATTCTTTACTTTATTACTGTTCATTACTGCTGGCAAACTCCTAGGTGCTCCCTGTTCTCTGTGACCACAGAGCCTCTGGAGCTCACATCTGACTCAGCAATTGGTGGAGAGCAAGGCTTGAACCGTGAGGCCAGGAGCATGGAAAGAAGGTCATTTCAAGCTGGTAACGGAGGTAGACTCCACTGCTGACTCCAAATCACCYGACAGAGATTTTGCTGAAAGCAAACTAGATAGTTGTCCTTCTGAGCTTCTCCTGACCAGGCTTTCACTCAGAATCAATTAGGTTGGAAAAGACCTCTGAAAACATCAWGTCCAAGCTTTAACTGAACACCACCATGTCAACAAGACCAAGGCACTAAGTGACATATCCAGTCTTTCCTTAAACACCTTCAGGGACAGTGACTCCACCGCATTCCTGGGCAGCCCATTCCAATGTCTAATCACCTCTTCTGTGAAGAATTTCTTTCTAATGTCCAACCTAAACCTCCACGGCAGAGCTTAAGACTGTGTCCCCTTGTCCTATCACTGGTTGCCTGGGAGAAGAGACCAACCCYCTTTGACTACAACCTCCTTTCTGAGTGTTCTAAACAGCAGTAAGGTCTACTGTGACCCTCCTCCAGGCTATACACCTCCAGCTCCCTCAGCCACTCCTCMTTGGCAATGTGCTCCAGATCTTTCCCCAGCTGTTTGTCTTCTCTGGAYTCGCTCCAGCAGCAAGATGTTCTTAYAGTGAGTGGCACAAAACCAAACACAGGATTCAAGGTATGGCCTCACCAGTGCTGAGTACAGGGGGACAATCCCTGCTCTGGTCCTGCTGGCCACACTATTGCTCATACAGGCCAGGATGCCATTGGCCTTCTTGGCCACCTGGGCACACTCTGGCTCATGTTCAGCTGCTGTTGACCAGCACCCCCAGGTCCTTTTCCAACAGRCAGCTTTCCAGCCACTTATCCCTCAGCCTGTAGCATTATGTGGGGGTGTTGTGGCCAAAGTGTAGAACCCAGCTCTTGGCCTTGTTGAACCTTATGCCTTTGGTCTTGACCCATCAATCCAGCCTCTCCAGATCCCTTTGCAGAGCCTTYTTGGCCTCCAGCAGATTGACACTCTGACCCAGCTGGGTGTCATCTGCAAATTTGCTGCAAGGTGTGTTTTGTCTCAAGGCTGCTCTATTGTGCAGTGGCCTCTGCTCCGAATGTCCTTGGACTTCCTCTTCCAGGGACAAGATGATCAGTGGTKGCAGTCTGGTTGATTTGTAAAATAATGCAGCCACTGGTTTAGCTCTGTAAGTAGTAGGCAGCAGTTCTCTCATGAAGCCTTGGCCTTCTGAGGCTTTCTTTCCTCTTTTGAGTGCCACAGTGTGTGTGAACATGGTGAACTGGCATTTCTCTTGTCAGAGGTCTATCCCTTTTGCAATCTGACTGTACTCTGCAAATACTTTCCTCTGGTTGTCACTTGCAGTGTCTTTTGTCTRAGTAAGTGATTCCTTACAATACTGGAGAATTGCCAGTAGGTCCTCAAGAGAAATGGTGTTTGTGTCATCATCTGAAGATTGCTTAAATGGCCCAAATATCAACACTTGCTGCCAGCTCGTCACTTTGGAATCAGCAGGGCCTTTAAATCAACAAGCATTTACTGTCTCCAGCGTTTGCTCCATGCCATGAAATGAGAAGCAGTTGTTTGTTTTTCCTGCTTTCTTCCCCAGCTGACATTTGTACTCTGGCTGTGCAGTTGTCATGCTACTTGCAGTACACCTCTGTGAGTTTGTCCTTGGTCACAATGTGGCAGCTCTCCTGGGTACTGGCACCTGGGCTGCCATGAGCACTTGTCAGGTTGGAGAGCACCTTCTGCKATAGGCAGGGGGCAATTCTGTGAGTAAGGCAGAAGTGAAATATTACTTGGTGTCCAACCCTATGGTRTTAATATGTTCTTCAATTAGAGAGAAATCAGCTGGGAAGATGTGTCACGTACAAGATCCTGTACTGGGCTAAGGGTGTTGGACCAGGTGATCTTTCTCCACCTCCTTATGCACTCTGTGGTTTGGTACCATGCTAATGACAGTATTATATGTGATCCGGATTTATTGATGGTCACTAATTGCTAAAAATGGAGCAGAGATGGAAAGTATTATTAGTATTATTTAGTATTCAGTTCTCCTAACTTGAAGCCTTTGGCTGATGAAAACAAAAGCATATGCTGCAGCTCTTGCTCTGCACATTCTGCAAAGTCAGGGTATCCCTGGCATAGATTGCTGAAGGACAGGTAATTTTAGTTAAAAATAAACCCAGAGCAATCATGAGAGGCTTGTAAATTGATGTGGTGTATTTCCTGAGCACCAGCTCCCATCAGGATTACTCTGGAGATCTGTCAGTGTCATCCATCATTAGAGTCCCATCGCTCTAATGATTCATTTCATATTAAAGTGGCTCCAGTTGCTGGGAAGATTCTGCATGTGCAAACTGTGAAAAAGTATTAGTGTTTTTAACTTCAGGTGTTCCCTTCATACCTATGGTGCCCTGGAGGATAGGCCAAGTAGCTTCTGCAGAATAAAATCCTATTTCATCCTTTGGCTGCATTCAAAGCAAAATGTTTTCCTTTGCTGCAGTCTTTCAAACTCCATCAAGTTCTTTTGATGATGTTTAAAAGATTAGCTGTTTTATAAAGCTGACATTCCCATCCATATTAATGTTTATTAAAAGGCTTTTAGGCCCGACTTAAATAATGAAATCTGCCCTTGAGACAGAGGTACCTCCGTGATTGCCTTGGCCAGCAGCACCATGGGAAAAGAGCTCTGACTCAGAGTCTCACTTCAGGGGCTGGTTCCCCTTCGGTCCAAGGGGAATTTCTACATATGAACTCTTTCCCAGACATAGGTTACTTCCCTCTTCACACAGGGTCAGCACTGTTCCCGTGCAGACTTTGCTGTATTTTCCCCCTCTTCCCCTTCTCCTGGCCTCTGTGCTCCTCTGCCCTGGTGCATGAGGATTTACATCAGTGAAAACTGTTACCACTCCTTTAGACAAAAACATCTCCTCTGTACATGCAGAAGCAGGAAGTCAGACGTCTGAATAGTCTTCCCACAAATTTCAAGAATTACTCACATTCATTGTCATCCTCTCTGGGCTGCGCTGCCTGGGGCATCCGTGGGCTCTGAGGAGAGCTGGGGTCACACCCATCAACTTGAGGAAGAGCTCAAACCTGTTTATCCCAGGGCAGACACTTGACATGTCCCAGATTTTGTCCCTGCCTCCCATACCCCATGAGGTCCTGAGCATCCTCCCAGCCCACMTTTCCCACCTATCAACCACTTTGTGGGCTAAAGAGCCCGAGGACAGGCTTAGATGTGTTTAAATGAATTGCCCTTGTATTTTCTGCCTACATGGCAGGCATTGGGTAGTCTGCTTTTGCGGTTTAATTGCGTAGCATTCCTCACGTGGGACATGAGTCTGGGTTTGACTGGGCTGGCTGCACGGGTAAGTACGGATCCACACATGGAGTGGACATGCTTTGACTCCCTGTCTCCCATGAGCCCTGCTGGTCCTCAGAGCTGGCTCGGATTAGGACCTGCCGGTTTTGTAGAACCACTCCACCACATGGGCTTGACTGTAAACATCTGCCTGCTCTGATTGCTTTGAATGATGCCCTCTTAGCTTGGAGTCCTCTTGGGTAGCAGCTTCAATCACCCACTTCTGAATTCACCTGAGAAGCTTCAGGAGAAATATCTGGTTTGAACAGTTATTGCAGATCTTCCAGCTGCTCTTGCTGGCTCSTTACAGGTTGGTATGAGGCCAGACTTGAAGAAATGCCTAGTGGATGTAGCCTGAGTTTCCAGTGGTCAGTACCAGAAACCTTGATAACATGCAGCTGATCATGGTTCTTCATACCGAAGCTACACTCCCCAGGCTGGGAGGAGCCATCCTTCAGAGAGAAGGTCACCTCAGAGCTTCCATGCACAAGGTAGCAGACATGTGCTGAGTGTGTGCTGCAGCTCTACAGCGTAGAACCATCACCTGAACATCACCACATCAGCAAAACCACACACTGAGGGCCATGTCCTCTCACTTCTTGAACACTTCCAGAAATGGTGACTCCACACTTCCTTGGTCAGCCTGCTCCAATCCCTGACCACCCATTCCATGGAGAAATTCATCCTGATGTTCATCCTGAACCTCTCCTGAYGCAGCTTAAATCCATGTCTTTTTATCCTGTTGCTTGTTGCCTGGGACAAGAAGCTGACACCCACCTTGCTACAACCTCCCCTGAACCTCCTTTACTCCAGCCAAAACAACTCAGGTTCTCTCAGCTGCTCCCCGCATGACTTACTCACCAAGCAGTTTGTCTTTTACATCACGGAATTAGGACAAGAAATTGCTCAGCTCTGTCCTTCAGGCTGCCTTCCTGGAGCAACCCTGTATTTCAGACTTCTGACAAACACAGTGACGGTGGGAGTGGATGGTGGTTCAAGCTGTCTCTGAACATCCTGCTGTCCCCCTGTTACCTTTTGCATGAGAAGCTGCTATAACATACATCATTTGGAATGCGAGGCATCCATGTTTCCTATCCAGTGCCACCACCCAGCCCAAGGCCAGCACGCAGGCACTGATCCATGTTGTCAGGGTAACATAAGCAATAATCATTTGAAGTTTGTGAACCCACGGGATGAAAACCACATGCAGTATTTGCTACAAAACTGTTTTGATTTGAGAGATTCAGTTAAATACTGACTCAGTGGTTAGGATATGTAGGTTGGGATTGCGGCGATAAACAGTTCAGCGTTACATCAGTTAGTCAGAAGCAGCAATGAAAGAAGGCCCACACTATTTCTAATGCCTCCCTGATGGCATTTAATTGGAAGGATCTGGGTTGCCAGAATGCATGTTGAGATGGTCCCTTGCATAATCTCTGGCAGGTGGGGGGCAGGTTTCTACTTTTATGCCATTGTTTTTGCCACAAGTAATGTTACAAGTGACTCCTTTGTTCTTGTGTATCAGTTACATTTTACATAATTAAAGCTAATTACTAGGTACGAATAAATCTGATTCTGGTGGGAATAAGTCRTACTTACCATATTTACTCTCTCCATTATTGACCTTTCCTGTGAAAAGCTTTATAAAGCCACACTTCAGAAAAAAGGTGTGCTTGCCCCTGTGCTGAATGGTTTGTGGTGCAGTCTGACACACTCCAAATTACAGTCGCTAGAGTCTAAAAATCTCYTGTTGACTTCAGGTCTTAGAAGACAAGAGAGATAAAGTTTGTACAACACTCTAAGACACATGGTGTGATTCTTGGCATTGTGCGGGGTCAGGAGTTTGACTCCTTTTGTGTCCATTCTAACTCATGAGATTCTATGCTTCTATGAATGTCGACCCGTGGCTCTGGTTTAAATGCTGTCCATCACTTCACTGGTTGGTACAGAAGGAGGACCTTTAGCTGGTGTGCCAAAGACATTCTGATTGTTCATGTCTGCTTTCCATTTCCAGCTATTAAACAACATGAAAAGACAACTGTCAACAGTAAAAAATATTTTCCTTGTTTAGTGTTGCATGTGGTCTGGGGCTGTTGGCATCACTGGAATGTTATCCCTTCATTGGAAGGGCTGTGGCTGGAAGAAGCTGGCACAGTGGAAAAGAACCTTCCATGAGATGTGTTTTTAAAAAGAAATTTTGACACCTGATGTATGTGACAGTAAGTGTAGCTATGAGGGCTACTTGACAGTAGTGCATGACTGCCAGAGTGTGTGGGCAGTCTGGGTCAGCAGCATTGGCCTCTCCATGAGAGGAATGTCTTGGCTATTAGGCCAGATTCACTTGGACTCAAAGGGTGAGAGGTACCACATGGCTTACATGTGGCTATAGTCTGTAGGGCTGAACTTCTTTGCTGCCAGAAGCTGGGTGGTCTCTCCCATGTTCCCTAACAGGAAGGATGCCCGGTCTGTGCCTGAATCATGCCCAGTCACTGCCTGAGAAAGTGCTAGTTGGCAAGCAAGTAAGCTGCAGTAGGGAGCATGGGAATCACTAAACTGCTTTGATGATTTCATTGCTCATGTTTGAGCTATGCCATGTCCTGGGTCAGCTTCCCAACACAGGTGTAGTCTCTGAGACCCGGGATGGCCTCTTTCCCAAGGCCAGCTTGCGTAATATTGCAAGGAGCTTGAAGGAGAGGGTGTTGGGTCTGCTCCATCAGTTAATAATACCTCATCTGGCTGGGGCAAGTTTTGGGGGGCTGCCCTTGTGGGAAGAAGGTGCTCTGTGATGCCGACCTATTTTTGTCCAGTCGCCAAGGGGTGAAATCTTCGCTGTATCCCATTAATGATGAGAGGTCTGTGTGAAGAGGAGAGGGAATGACCACATGGCTAGGGCTTTAAGCTAACTCCTATGCACACACATATTTTTACAGACTTTGAATATCCCCAGTGTCTTGAAATAGAGAGTTTGGAGTGAGACGGGAATTTCTGGAACTCCATTGCTTATTGCCTGGCATCTTTTCTCTACTAAACACCTCCAATTCCTAGTGCTTTCTGAACATGGTAAACAGCGCTCAGGTGGAAGTGACAGCTGAACCTAGGAAAGATTGAGAAATTCAGATTGGGCAAGCAAACTCCCAGCCCTCTCACCCACTCAGTTCACATTGTCTWTAAGGTGTCCTTTTCCCTTTCACAGGTCCACTCCCCTGTGGTTTCTCTGTGCTTTTAAGGACAAGACCCCAGCTGACTTTTGCTCTCTCCTAATTTAAACTGAGGCTCTGGACAAAAGCCTACATACGCTTAGCCACTGGAGGTGGAAATGGGGTATTTTCATTCTATCTGATGGCCTGGTGGGCATGGATGCATCCAGGAGARTAGAGACAAACCTAGGGCTACTGGCTGAAATCTAGACTGGTTTCARTGCTGCTCTGTGTGACCTGGGAAGGAGTCTCCTTGCAGCCCCTGCACTGTGACCATGGCTGCATCAGACCTTGCAGCTCTGCCAGCCCCTGAAAGGGCCCAAGGACTGCTGCRCTGTGCCCTGGGGCTGAGTGTGCTTGTGAAAGTCCTGAGCTGGCAGATCGATGCTCCTCCGGCCTGTTTCATTTACCATAATGAAGATGGCTCTGTAGGAAGAGAAGKAAGCCTCTTGCCTATTCAGGAGTTTCACAAGCGTGGTACACTGAAGTTTCTGGTGGTGGGAAAGCCCCAGAACGTGGGTTGGGCTGAAGGGACAGTGCAGGTGATTTTACAAAAGTCCTGTCTAACTCTTGGGTAAACCTGAGTTTCACGAAAATTTGATTTCATTTGAAGGCTTGTATCTACAGCATTCAGATACGTGATGACTRCAAGAAGCAACTGAGGTGTTTGTCCCTATTGTTACCTGGAAAAATGCCTGAACAAGTGGAGATCTGAGCACTATTTCCAGAGAAACAGGCCAAAACCAGGTGGCAAATGGGGGTGGGCTGGGCTGGGTGCAGGCACAGTGACAATGGCAGTGCTGTGCAGTCCCTTTACGTTCCTCCTCTCTGCCCCCTCATGGCAGTGAGTCTGCCTCTGACATTCAGCACACAGTGGCCATGTGTTCCAGTGTGAGCCAACAGGGCAGCTGGGGAGAGGCAGGAGCTGGAGAAATAAAGATTTAATTAGAACACCTTGATGCTGCATTGCAACATTGATGTGTAGCAACATGACACAGGATGCACAGTCTGTCACCCATCCAAAGGAAACTGATGTACGCASAGCCATGCATGCCAGCTGTTCTTTCCTGCTGATGTCATCAAAATTGGCTATCCTCAGCACAGCCCAAAGTGGGCTGGATTTGGGGCCAGAGGTATTCCCAGATCCTAACGTGGCAGATATAAATAATTGAAATTGCTATTCATAAAGAGCATATGTGATCCAGGGATCATGTTTCCCWTACCTCCCTCTTTGAACAGTCTGGGAGAAGGATGACACTGARCAGGAACTGTGCAGAGCTGTAAGGTACTCTGAAATTCCAAAGCTTGTCTCTCAGCCTTCATTGACCACAAGGAAAACTTGTGGAGATTAGCCTTCCCAGGCTAATGTTAGCCTTTGTGATTGTTGCTCTAGGCTTCCTCTGTAGTCACTGAAGAAAGAAATCAAACCACCCATGAGCTGCTCTTGTATGACCTTTGCAAACTTGATGTCTTTAGTCTGAGTATAGAGGAGAATGCTCAGTGAAGGCACCTAAGCAGGATCCTCTAAGCTGGTGGTGTGAATCCTCCTCAGATCTGTTGTTGTTTCTTTGGATTTGTTTCATTCTGTAGTTTCATCCTCCTGATTAATTAAAGTGACTAACAGAGCTTTTCATCTCAGTGGACCTTCTGATGGTTTCAGGCCAGTCGAGCATCACAGATACCATTCTGAGGAAGAGTGGTTGTAGAATGCAGACTTTGCCTAGATGTGTTATTATTTTAGTTTTCAGTACACAAGCAACTTGTGGATCAGTTCTTCTGGAAGGAAAGTCAGAGATGTTCAAGATYCTCTATTTGTCATCCTGACAAGCACAACTCAGTTGTTTCATCAATCGGGTCAATTTTCAGCCACTGAGCGATGGTTTTAGGTTCCAAAGCATGGAACAGACTGTGCTGGCTGTGTGTGTAGGGTAAACTTACTCTCACCCTTGGGGATAGTTTTGGAAGACCTCTGAAGGCTTTCCAGGAGGAAATGAGACACTGTCTCTGTCTTGATTCAGCTCAGATTCCAGGCCCGAAGGATGTAGTGCTTGGTATTGTATCTGTGTGCTTTTCACCCAGATTTGGGAGGCTGGTGCTCTTGCAAGCTGTGGGGACAGCAGTACTCCTGTGTCCTGGAGATTAGCAGGGCCTGATGAAGGACRGGGAAGATTTCCTTGGATGATCCTTCATGCCTTATGTTTATTGAACCTGATTTCACTACGTAGCCTGCTCCATGCATCTTGTATTTATTTTCTGGGACAGCTCATTCCCAGCAGCCCACATGCCCAATTACACGCTGCTGCAGGAGGCAAYTCACAGACAACAGAGGAAATAGCTCTTCTGGCATGTCTTTCCTATCTCATTTCCACCCTCGAATTTTTCCCTTGTTTTAATCCCCATGGTCTGGATTCCTCAAGAGTCTCTAGAAAACCTCATACTTTGGTGCCTCCTAGAACKTCTCACCCAGAAGCCCAAGGGTTAATATCCTTGGAGCATGGCACTGGGAAGCAGCACAAGTCTGTTCACGCAGTTCAGTGYCCTTTTATTATTGCTTCTATCTCTTCTATCAGATGTCTCACTCTTAACAGAGTTGTTATTAAGATAATTAGTTAATGCGGGTTGTTTTATTATTGTAGTCTTACTTGGTTTGATTGCACGRTCAGCTGACGCAAGCCATAAAAGCAACAAAAGCATTAAAAAGTTGCATAATTAGCAAAACTGAACTGTCAGTGTTGTGGAATTCAGAGATTCATGGAGAGAAGAAAGATACAGACTCCATAGAGACACGAGTCCTTCTGTGAACCTTGGATTTCTCCTCCTAGCATTTATAAGTCAGGAAAATGATTGGCATTTCCTCTTCTGTGTTTTAATTTTCTCTGCTGTGCTGTATGTTCTGATCTTTGCTTTAGCCCACAGAGGAAGGCAGATCGGACTTGTTTATCTTTGCCAGAGATTCCTTCGTTTTGGGAACCGCATAGGAAATAACTTTGAATGAAGGCAGACAAGAGGCTTTAAAAAGCATCTATCAAGTAATCAAGTGGGCCCATGTGTCATATTTCCTGACCATCTATTGCCTTGGTATCTGCCATTGGCACACATCCCAGGGCTGTCAGGGTAGTACAATCCTATTTTTATTTACATCCAGTGTTCCTCTGTTCAAATACTTTAACCAGATTTGTCAGTGCAAAATTCCAGCAATTTTCATCTTCTTAACCTTTTGATTTTTCCTTATGCACCCTCCTGACACATAAGCTGGGGAAAAATGTTTCTTTTTTCAACCCTGTCTGAAAAGCTGCTTTTCAGCCCATCCCAGCAAGACTGCTCAGAGACATGACCAGTGCTGTCTTTGTTTGTGTTGGTCTTCTCTAGGCTTGGATTGAAGCTGTGAGCAGAACATTCCCCAGGGTCCTAAATTCTGCCCAATTTGCAGCCATGTCGACCTGCAAATATTTCCTCCAGTTTGAGATTTTTGGCATCCCAAGTTTCCTGGATGTGCTTACATCATCCCTGTGCGGAGGAGGACTTGGCTGTATGGCTTAGAATGTGCTCTGCGTAATTGAACAAGTTCCCTCAAAAATACCCCAGCAATTTTACCAGTTCTTGTTTGGGGTTATGAGGTAGGTGATATAGCCCTGTGGGCAGAGAGGAAAAAGCCCTCCCAAGAAGCCTTTCCTGAGCTGACTTGATGACATTGGGGTTTGAAATGGTGGGGAAAGAAAAATCTGAAGCAAGAAACGAGTTGTTAAAGCAAAGATGCGTGCAGACATATAACAAATGATAAATCTTGATTTTTTTTAGAATGTGGCTAGAGGAAATCAATCCCTAAGGCA